TGTGGTTGTGATTGCGCTGGTGCTTGTGTTTGTGAATGTGTGTTTGCGGATGTGTCTGTGGCTGTGATTGTGTTTGTGGTTGTGTGCTTTTAGCTGTGTGTGTGATTGTGTTTGTGGTTGTGATTGTGCTGGTGCTTGTGATTGTGTGTTTGTGGATGTGCTTGGGGTTGAGTTGTGGTTGTGTGTTTGTGATGGTACTTGTGTGTGTGTTGTGGTTGTATGCTTGTGATTGTGTGATTGTGCTTGTGTGTTTGTGGATGTGTGTGTGTGGTTGTGTGTTTTCGTGATTGTGTTTTTTGGTTGTGCTTGTGATTGCGCGTTTGTGGTTGTGTGCTGGTTGCGGTCCGTCGGGGAACACTGCCAGCCGGAACTCGCGGTTGAGGTCCGGCGGGGAACACTGCCAGCCGGAACTCGCGGTTGAGGTCCGGCGGGGAACACTGCCAAGCGGACCTCGCGGTTGAGGTCCGGCGGGAACAGTGCCAAGCGGACCTCGCGGTTGAGGTCCGGCGGGGAACACTGCCATCCTGCACTTGCGGTTGAGGTCCGGCGGGGAACACTGCCATCCTGCACTTGCGGTTGAGGTCCGGTGGGGAACACTGCCATCCGGAGCTGGCGGCTGAGGATGACGCGGAGGAGGAGAAGGCGGAGGAGGCAGCGGCGGAGGATGGCGGCCGACATAAAATCTATACAAAAACCTCACCTGACAGGTGGGGAAAAACTCAATGCGTATCCTATGTAGTTAGAGCCGGATTCGGAAACTAATCGGTCGGAGTCTGAAACTAGGGTTCTGAAACTGGGGTTCTGGAACTAGGGTTCTGAAACTTGGATTCTGAAACTGGTATTATTCTGAAACTGGGGTTCTGAAACTAGCATTCTGAAACTGGGGTTCTGAAACTAGGACTCTAAAACTGGGGTTCTGAAACTTGTGTTCTGAGACTGGAAAGTCAGATTCTGCAACTGGGATTCTGAAACTGGAAAGTCAGATTCTGAAACTGGTATTCTGCAACTGGTGATCTCCACATTGCCACAGCGTGTGTGCCGGTGACATTATCTTCGAAGCGCATCCAAAACCAACGTCATTAGCCCCCCACCCAACCCCCCCACCCCCCAATCCCTCCCCGTGTCCCCATCGTGTGATCTCGAAATCACGCCAACCCCCTCATCATTCACAAAGTTGCGGAATCCTAGTGAGGGAATCCACAATGTTGCGGAATCCTAGTTGCGGAATCCTGACAGTTGCGGAATCCTATAAGTTGCGGAATCCTAGTACGGAATCCTAGATGCGGAATCCCAGTTGCGGAATCCTGCGCAGTTGCGGAACTCGACTTTATCCTATCCTATGTTCTTGTTCCTGGGGCCCCAACTGGAGGATCCAGTATCCTCCCGCGCCAGCATAGGCGACTCGAACGGATCTCCCGCCATGGCAAGATCAAGTGTCCCGGGCTTTCAAGGATAGCATGCAGAAATGAACAATTTTAATGAGTAATGGTGTTCAGTGCGTATCTAAGGATGATTTTACAACCGTGCTGCCGTCTCCAAATACGTTGCTGGGGAGCTGAAATACGCACACTAAGAGATACTAAGACCCTGGCAACCAGGGCTTACCATTTTAGGCTTTAAGCTTCAAGCAGTATGACCCAACATGGAGTACAAGGCTTGCTGTACAATCTACAGTTGGGCCAAAACATAGTGGATGAGCACTTCTGTTTCTTGCAAGCAGCTCCAGCCCAGTTTCCTGCTCTGACTTTTCTTAACCTGATTGGGACAACCAAATAGCACGGCTGGGGGAGTCCTAGGATATATATATAAATATTTATGTATATGCCTCTTCCACCAGCAATACAGCCTCACTGCAAAAGAGTTTACTAGCCTTAGCCTTCGGCTGTCTTTGGCTTGTTGACTGCCGAAGGGCCTGAGGAAGCTATTACATTCCGATGGGTCTTGCAATGAGACAATCGGTCTTGCAAGCAGGCTCCGATGACTGGCCTTGGTTCCTACCCTTGATAATCCTCGAATAGTAATATAGCTGCAATATGGTTGTGTTTTTGTTGTAATTCATCAACACAACATCGTGAGAAAACCAAGAACCTGTTTGGCTTGCGGATTCCCATGTTCCAGGTGGGGATAACAATAAAGTTGAAGGAGTTGCATGTTCATGGTCAAAGCCTTTACCGATCATCTGACTTCGTGAGTGGCAAAAGCACAAACGATCACGCAAAGCTTGCTTGATGTGGCTGCCGTTTTCTCCAATGGCTGAGATCTCGAGCCACACGGAAACGCGTGGATTCTCCCAATATCTACAGTAATGTACAAAGTGATGCGCAACTCGGGAAACAACAGTTGCAAAATGGCTTTGCGGTGTTTTGACTCGGGAGATCCTTTTAAAACACATCCAGCAAGTCGGAGTGTGGCAACTGCTTAACCACATTATCCCTTAAGCTTCTTTGAGGACACCAGGTAGGCTTGAACACACCCATTTGGGCTTCCTGACATTAGAGTACGGTACGGTAGGGCACTACCTGTGCAAACTGCTAAACCGTCACCTGTCATCCTTCCCCGTGACTCGACAGCTCCACTCAGAGGTTCTGCATGAGGTCCACGACCGCTAAGCGCGACCTTGCGGTGGCCAAAAGCCACGGAAACCAGGCGTTCTTTTGAAAAAACGCCTTGGAGCTGCCATCTACAAAACAGAGATTCCCCCATGAAAGGGTGACTCCTTTGACACCGTTTAACACGGTTTCTGTCTATCTTGTTGAACAGCTGCAGTATGCGTCCGAACTGTATACGGCGCTCGTGGACGAGTCTTGACATGACCCATAATTGCTCTGCGTTACAGTGGCAGTTCTCAGGCGTTCCATCTCATCTTTCGTATGTCCTTAAGTGCTTCGTTTTGCTTCAGTTGCTTTTTCAACATGTCGGACCAAGTTTCGCATGTCGACCCCCAAAAACGCACGCATCGACGTCTTTTTTTTGCCGGAAATCCATCCATCTAGGCGTTCCCACAAGTCATGGCCCAAGCGAGCCAATGAGCTGGACAACTGCGGTGTGAGCCACATGTATCCTGCGGTGGCAACGATGACCCGTTGTGTCCCACACCCGTCAGAGGACATCAAGACATCAAGACAAACAAGCAAAGCAACGTCAAACAAGCTTGATATAAGAGATGAGATGGTGTTGATGCCATGTTCGTCATTTGGAAATCATTGTTCCGAACAACACTTGAGCATATCGAGTATATAAACAATATAACCATATTGAAGCCACCAATCAATATGCAAAACGTCGCACAGGAGATCTAGGCTTCGAGAAACCCCTTTAGCACACCCTTCCGTGTCACACGCTGGTTCAAGGACCTGAGGAGCATGCAGAAATGGATTGCATGCAGCTGCATCAATACCTGAGGCTTCCTCTTGGCCTTTTGACGTCAGGTCAGAACGGAATCCACAGAATCAGCATATAGATCAGACTGGCACCACTCAGCCGGGCTCCTGTGAAAGAGAGGTGCGGGAACTTCCGGCCGCAATTCCCCCTCACACGGGCGGAAGAGAGCAAGACCGTCTCCGTCCCGTCAAAGGTGTCGTTCACCCGGAGCAAACGTGCAGTTCTAGCGCAAGCCACATGTTTTTGTAGCCATGTTGCTGGGAGGATGTAAAAAACAGTGGTGTATCTAGTGTGGTCCAGGATATCTTGAACCTCAACATGACTCACATGGAAGTCGTGGCTTTAGTAGTGAACTACCAACTAATTTCATAGGCAACTGGAAGACTACCATTCAACTAATTTCTGGGCTGTGTATATAATTGATTCATGCGCAATGTGCAGTGTTGCCGATGATCTAAACATATTCTTAAAATGCGAGAGCAGTAGTGACTTCTCAACTGATCGTAAGCCGATGATGATGCAGTACCAAACTCATGAAGAATCCACGGCCACTTAAAGTCCTGTCATTAAGGAATCGGGGTTTAAGGTGATTCTAAGGTAGACAGGTTGAGTCACTAAGTTGCTTCATTGGACATAGTTCGACTGACAATCTACCAGTGTTTAGGGTGCAGAGTTCAAAAACCTGTACTCCCGGTTGAACCGCCTAGTTGGGAGTTGGAACTTGACCCAACCCCAAATCATGTCATGTGTTCTTTGTGGCCTCTACCTGTTCAAACTCCAAGCCTCAACCACTGAGGAAGTCCCACTGTGTTATATGTTTGGGATATCCCAATCTGATAGCAAAGGATGTTCCATGATTTTCCCCTCAGCAGCACGGAAGGCAAAGTCAAAGTACATGGCTGCCAACCCATCCAGTCACTGTAGCCATATTTACAATTTCATGAGTTACCCAGCTTATGCTACACCTATTCGATCGCAAGGAACCAATACCATATTATCTATATAGTAATCACAGAATCTACAAAATTTTAAACACATACAAAACCACACGGTGTTGAGCTCTTGGAAATGGAAGTGGAAGGGTAGGTGACACCGGTCACGCCACGGGACAGCAGTTTCCGTCCTTTCCTCCAAGCGGCCATCGGTGACAGCAGTCACAGCAACTAAAGCCACCCAGCTCTTCTTGATGCATGTGGTGCATCTCCTGGCCCGGAAAGGGCGCGGCGGAATGGGCACGTGGTCAATACACCCACGTCAGCGACTGCTGGCGATACTACCAGCCACTGCTGGTGTGGAGTCCACAGTGCACCTCAAAGACCATCAAAGACCCATATGGAAACAGTCAAAATGGACTAGTGGACCAAAAGATTATCATTTCCAACACAATGCCCTTTTGAGGGAAGTGATTGATTATAAGTTTCAACTGGAAAGAAATGGAGAGATGCTGATCCAGAGCTCTTCAGACTTAGTCTCCCACCTCTGACACATCACAGTGTACAGTGTTACAGTGTTCTGCAAGTGTCCGGGCTTCCTGCAATGCAAAAAATATTTATATATATGCATGCTACAGGCACGCTACACTTCCACTTTGGGGGTCCCCAACAGAACACCAATCTCTATGCATCGTTGACTGCGCTGGGAAAGAAACAGGGATTCACAAAACACCAACCTCTATATATACATTGATTCAATCTCGCTGGGTTTGGTGTGTGTGTGTGTCCACCCCTGGGCAAAGGGTTTCCTTCCACCGTTTCACCCACCTTTTACCCACAGATTCAACCGCAGGGGGGCAAGGCCTCCGGCGACAAACCTTGCCCAACGAAGCTAAGTCGCTGGAGGGGAAGCACCAAAGGACGCTTTGGTGTGTACCTGCCACAACTTTTGCAAAAGCTGTCCAATCCGCCTTGTTTGATTCATGGTGGTTGCATGTTTCCTCCCATAAACCCTTTCCCCGCAGCTGAGCTCGTCACCGCATCACCCCCAGAGTACGCCTTATTGAAAAAATTCAATAAGAACCTCTAGTTTCAATATATAGTCACAACCCATTTCAATAAATTGGTGCTTTTTATTGAAATATAGTTTAGACTCTGTTTCAATAAAAATTATTGAAATGCAAGTCATTTCAATAAGGTCTGTTTCAATAAGAAGAGTTCTTTTTAAGCATGTTTGCTTGCTACCTTTCTTCAAGGCTTGAGGGCTCTTTGGCCTGCTACATTTGCTACCTTTATTCAAGGCTCAACCTTATTTGCAAGGCTTTACCCTTTGCAGGGCTTCAATCCTCAAACTCAGTTTCTGCATCCAAGCCATGGCCCATGCTCCTCAGATGCATGCCAAGGCGAAATCTCCAGGCCACCCTTGCTGGCACCATGTGTCCTGGTGTTCCATTCAAACAAGAATGGCCAAGAGCAGCCATGTAGCCTACCATGGTCTCACCATGGTAGGTGGAGACAAAGCGAGGGTTCAAGTAGGCAGCCTGAGATGGAAGATGGCAAGTCAAGTGACATTTGTGGATGGTGTTCCACATGAGGAGTTTGTCCTGGATTGTCAGCTTGCTGCACTTGGCAAAGTGGAGCATGCACAAGTCAGTCACCTGCTGAAACTTTTTAGAAGCCTTGGCAGACAAATGCATGCCACTCTCTTCCATGATGGTGTACATGGACTCAAGATTCTGGAGGCATAGGAGCCTGTGGCGGGTGTATGGCCTGTCTTCTCTGAGGGTCTGCTTGCATATGTCCAAGAAGCATGGAACCATGTATCTGATTTGCCTGGCTTTGAACCCTGATAATTCAGGGAAGCTCTTGTATTTCTCTGCAGGATTGCAAAAGCTGCTCATCTTCAGGTGCTTGATGCGGTTGCTTGAATCTATTGCCTGCTCCTCATATTGCACCTGCAGCCTCGTGTAGACTTCTTTCAATCTTTCCTCTTGGGTTGATCCTGGGATCTCTTTTCTTATGATCCAATCGAAAAGACAGTTTGCACAGGCCTGTGAAGACACACCTTCTTCTAGGATATGAAGAACATCATAATGGAAAGTGTATCCATTGATGCCTGGCACTCCAGCCAATGGGTGATCAGTTGGGCAACTGTTTTTGTGATCTCTCAAAGTGCCCCTCCAAAGTGCACCAGGTCGGTAATCATTGTGTGGGGTGCCCCCTTTATTGGCCAGGCAGCTAAAGCAACATTGAAAATGTGAAGATCCTGGCAGCCTCAGCTCATTCTGGTAGAAATCTCCTTCCCCAGTATGCCACACAGACCTTGGCTGTGCAGTGGAGTTCCAGCAGTCCTTGACCTTGGTGACCTGTCAGGCCAAGCTCTCCCCATATGGTCCTTCTCAGGATGTTTGCCATGGAAGAGGTGTGTGAGGCTCCAAGTGACAATGTTCCAGAGCTGCTCCATTGTGTCCTTCTCCTTGACCTCTGATTTGCTCATAGCTGATTTGGGCATGACAGCTATGAGAAGCTGTGATCTGCTCACATTGGCATCTGACAGCAGTGACCTCATCGACAATACCATCAAACTGTCATATCTTTGGAATGAGCCTGCATCCCCATGTAGCAGCAATGGTAGGAACCTTGATGTCCCTTCCTGGACAGATGGGTTTGCAAACACACACATTCAATGCCTACAAACACACAGGTGCAACTGAGGCTCTATCTTGGCAGGGTTGAACTTCAATTTTGGATCATTTTCCAAATGATCTTGCCAAAATGTAGCCAGTTTGCTGAAGCCACTGACTTGCTCCTGGCCTTCTAGCCAGGCAAACAGTTCATGAGGCAAAAACAGTGCCACACTTTTCAATTCAACTTCCCATTCATTTGGTTTCTTCACCAGGCATGGGATCTCTGCAAAATATGGATTGGGAAATGTGATCTGTTCAGATTGACAATACTTTGTCACCATTTGACTTGCGCAGTGGTTGCTGGACCTGCCATGGTTCCCCAGAGCTGCCAGCTCTGAGATGCCTGTGCCTGTGGCTCCAGACTTTGATGCAGCCATGGCAATGGCTTGGACTGATGGGCCCTTGGCTGGACAGGCTAAACATGAGACACATTCTCAAACCTCAAGAAGGCTTAGCAAACATTTTCATAGTTCCAAGAAACAGACATCCCTTGTGCATAGTGCTCCAGCAAACAGATTGCTAGTGGTGACATTTCTTCTTCTGGTTCAGGTGCAGGTTCTTCCTTCTTTCTCTTCCATTTAGACATTCTCAGAAAAAGCACTTGCTCAAGACAATACCCTTTTTCAGGGCTACCCTTTTGCAGGGCTTTATGCAAACTTGAGCCAAAGAGTTGCTCCAAACAAAGCACCCTCCACCCAAGCATGTGACATTGTTGTTTCCACATTCTGCTTGCCCTGTTGCAAACCTTTTCCAGCATCTTGGCCACTGTCATGAAGAAAGCCCTTTCTCAGGGCTACCCTTTTTCAGGGCTACCCTTTTTCAGTGAACATGCTCACATGGCCTTTGCTTTTTTGATGGCAACAGCACCATCAAACAATACATCCTTTGCTGCTTCTAGACTCACCTTGTTGCCCAACTTGCTGAGCTTTTCCAACCTTGCAATCACCTTGCTCAGGATGTCTCTGTGCTCCTTTGGAACGTCTGTTTTGACCTTCTTGGTCAGCGCAAGCATCCTTTTCACTCTTGTGCTGGCTTCTTCCTTGGCCATCTTCTTGCTGCCAACCTCTGAGAGGACTTCTGCTTCATCTTTGCCTTTGCTTTTCTTTTCATTGCAGCTGGACCCAGCATTGCCACTTTCATGGTCACCTGGCCTGTCCTCCAAGGCCAGTGGCTCCTTCCTCTTGTTCTTGGTTGACAACAAGGCTGCCAAGGCCTGGCTTGCCTCATTCTGCTCATGCCCAGGCCCAGGCTCAAAAAGCCCTTTAGCCCTGACCTCCATCCATTGTGAGGCCTCTAGCTTGCCCTTGGCATCAGCTGTATGCTCATGCTTGGACTCCTCCTTTTCATAGGCAACTTCTTGCTCCAGGCCAAACTGCCACTCATCAGTCCTTTGGGTCTTTCTGGACTGGGATGGTTCCCTTTCTGACCTGGGAATGCAAGGCCAAAAGGTTGCAACATCATGAGGCTTCAGGCTGCAGTTTCATGTGGCCAAGTTGCTCTGCGCATGGCTTCATGTAGCCCATACCTCTGCAAAATGGTTGCTAGAGGAACCCATTCCTTCTTCTGCTTGGTGCCTCAGAGAAAAACATGCTTTAAAGCAGTGGCCAGCACACAATTCAGAAATTCAAAGAATTCTGGCAAGGTGCCAGAGGTCTTTGACAGGGAAATGATTTCCTTCTGGTATTGCTCTGACCTCTTCAGGTCTTTGTTCTTCAGGTAGCATTCCAAAAGCTTTTTTTTGTGCTGGTCAGAACCTTTCCCCTTACAATGCTTTTCCCAGACTGCATCAGCAGCTGGGTCCCTCATTGCCTGTCTGGCTGCTGAGAACCTCTGCCAGAGGCTTTCCCTCTGCTGCTTGCTTAATGAGTCCAGAAACTGGTGGATGTTTTGGTTGCCCTTCTTTGTAAACTGGTCCATCTTCTCTTCCAGCGACATCCCCTTCTCTTCTGGCAGGGGCAGATTGGGGGTGGAGCTGGCAGGCTTTTTCATTGGCTTGACATTTTTTGAACCCTCCTCATCCTTCTTCTTTTTCAAGATACCCTTCCTCAGGGCAGGTCCCTTTTTCAGGGCTTTCATGGCTTTCATTGCAAGCCCAAGGCTTTTTGCAAACAAAATTACAAATCCCTAGCCAACCTTCTGTGCCAAAAAGCTTTGGCTCAAAAAACGCAAACAAACACACAGGCTCATATGAGCTCATATGAGCTCATATGAGGCTACCTTGGCCTCATATGAGCTCATATGAGGTTAGTTGGCTCCCTTGCTTTGATCACTAAAAATATAAATCTGACAAACCCATACCTTTTGCTTACCTGTGTGCTGTGGCCACTGCTCAGGCACCCCTTTTTTTCCACAGGCTGTGCACTGTGCAGTGCAGGCTTTGCTGCTGGAAACCCTTTCCCAGGGCCAAATCATGCGCTCACCCTTTCTCAGGGCTGACCCTTTTTGCTGGAAACCACCTTTCCCAGGGCCACATCATGTGTTCACCCTTTCTCAGGGCTGACCCTTTTTTCAGGGCTTGCCCTTTTCAGGGCTCATTTGGGCACCTTTTTTCTTGGCTTGCCATTCCTTGCAACTTCCACCCAAGTTTGGCCTTCAGCTTCTGCAGTTTGGCCTTTGTCTTTGGTCTGCTTGGGCTCATCTGCAGCCTTGGGTTGAATGGCTTTGCCATTCCCTTTTCCTTTGCCCTTGCCAGGGCCAGGCTTGGCTTTGGGCCTTTGTGTCTCAAAGTAGCCTGGCAAACAATGGGAACAATGGAAAACACAGCCATCAATCCAACAAGAAAAAGCCACACCCACAGCAGGACAACTGATGACAAACACTCAGTACATAGGCAGTCCTTCTGGTGTTGAAGAGCTACTGGTGCCACTTGCACTGGCCTGGCTGCTGTGGGAAGACTCTGCTGCCCTCTTCCCACCTGAAAGCAGCAAGTCTAAAACATGCAAACACAAGCTCAGCCCCCCTTGCAAAGCACCAGCAGTCCTTGGGCAGCTTGGGAGTGGTCAGGTTGCTGCCCTTCCTGCCTCACACCTCCTGCCAAGCAAAACCATAACCAAAATTTGCAAGGGAACACAATTCTTTGACAGCCAAAAGCTCCTGGGTACCACATTGTCCAGGAGGGCTGGTTGTGGTAGGTGCTGGCTGTTGGCACTTCTGCTGGTCTTGCCTCTGTGCTTCTTAGCATTTCTGCCGCTGGTTGTTGGTAGTACTGCCAACCCTGTTGCTGTGGCATTTGCTGTTGCCACAGCTGGTACTGCTGTTGGTGGAACTGCCATTGCCAGTAAGCAGCCTTCTCTTCTGCTTCCTTTTTTGCCCTCAAGCACTCTTGTTTTTCTTGCTCTTCTCTGGCCCTTCTTTCCAACCTGTTGTACCTGCTCTGGCCCATGGCAGCCAACCTGAGCATCTGCTTCTTTTCTTCTGTCATCTCCTCACCCCTCTCCAAGGCTTGTGCCTCCAGCTGTTGGAGGAGTGATTTCTCTCTTCTGGAGCCATTGGGCCCATAAGCAACCCACCACTGGTCATTCTTGTTCCACTTACCCTTCCAGCCCAATGTGGGTTGTTGTGGGTGCGCCAGCCATCTTCCTCTTCTCTTTTGCTTCTGCTGTCTTCAGGTGAAGAAGATCTGTCCCAATCTGCATCATCAGCCATGACCCTTTCTCAGGGCTTACCTTTTTGCAAGGCTTCCTGGGGTTGAACCCTTTACAAAACCCTGTGTCCAGGGCCAGCTGCTGCTTGAGCAAAGGCTTTGGCGCACACACACAAACTGTTACTCTTGTACCACAAAGCTATAGCTTGAGGTCTTCCAAATTCAAAACCAAATCAATCACCAAACTCAATTTTGTACACTGCACTCTTAGCTGCAAGCAGACCATTTTTCAAGGCCATTCCCTTTCCCAGGGCATGAAGTGCAGCACCCCCTCTCTTGTTCAGGGTCATACCATTTTTCAGCGCTATTCCCTTTCTCAAGGACATAGTGCCCTTTTTCAGGGCTATACACTTTCTCAGTGCACTAGGGCAATGTCTTTTCAAGGTTTCAGTAGACACACTTCATTTCTTATATTTTGCAAACAGTTTGCCCCTCTCAGCCAACACAGACCTTTTAGTTGCACCTTCCTGTTTGCAAGCAGGGAGCAAAAGCCCCATCACCCTTCTGTGGCCTTTTGTCAAGGCTGATGCTTGGTTGGTGGTGCATGCAACCACAAGCTTCAGGCTGGTGCCAGGCCCTCCAGCCCTGTGTTGGATGTAGGATTGTGATTTCCCACCACCCAAGACCAAAGAGGACTGCTCCAAGGGGTCATCCAATCCTCCATCACTCTTCTTAGTGGAGCTTGCCTTTGTGGCAGGCTTCTTTTCTGTTTGTGCTGCTGGCCTCTTGAGTGGTTTGCCTGCCTGGTTTCTCCAGTCCTTCTTTAGCACTGGTGGTGGTGACTCAAGCAAAGAGTCACCAAATTCTTCCAGGGCGGAACTCTCACCACCATCAGTGCTAAAATCAGTGTCCTCCTGTCCTGAAACAGATGCAGCCACCATTGCAGGGAAGCCTTTGCTGTCTGTAGTGATCTCAGTGTCTGTCTTCTTGAGGACCTTCATAGGAGGAGCTGCCCTTACAGGCCTGACATCAATCACCATGGCCACAGCTTGGTCATCTAGGCGTGAGCAAAACTTTGCCCATGCCTTTTCATCTTTGGTGACTCTTCTCCAGTGGTTCAACAAAATGCCTATTTGGTCAGCTGCTTTGCCTGCAAGGACATGTTGCTCACCAGACCAGTGACACAGCAATTCTTTTCCAAACTTGTTGCTCATGGCAGTGAGGCTTTGCCTCAAAAACCTGTACTCTATTTTGAAGCTTGGCTCCACAGTGCCCAAGCATTTCAGAAGCTGGCTTGTTTTCACCAATGATCTGCTGGACTCTGCCTGCTGCACAGATAAACTGTGGTATTCATGCAGGTTGAGTGCCTGCCTGATGCCCACCTTCCTTATGTATGAATCCAAACAATCATCCAACGTCTCTTGAGATACTTCAGGGAAGCTTTCCCTGACATGTGGCCTTGAATTTCCTCCACCTTTTTTCCTTTTCCTCAGGGCTGGCTTCATTAAAGACATCTGGCCCTTTCACAGGGCTCACCCTTTTGCAGGGCACACCTTTTTTCCCAAAGCTTTTTGTGCACAGAATTCAGGATGCACCCATAGAAGCCAAAACAGGCTTGCATGACAAGCACACATTGCACAATGCAACTGCTTTCCTTCATGTTGCTCCACCCAGCCTTCCTCACACGGAATTTCCTTTTTTTGCTGGCTTTTGCCATTGCTTCAGACACACCTTTTCTCAAGGCAATGCCTTTCCCCAAGGCTTCACCTTTCTTCAAGGCTTCCCCTCCACCCTGTCCCCAACCATGTGGAGTGTGAAGACTGAGACTCTGAGACTGAGTGGAGTGTGAAGACAGACTCTGAGACTGTGTTGGAGTGTGAGTGAGAATGGTGGAGTGAGACTCTCAGACTGGTACTCTCTTTCATCTCCACAGTCTGAAGCCATGGGTTTGGAAGCCATCTCTCCATGGTCTCTGGCACATGTAGCACCTGATTTGCAAATTA